AAATATACTCTGCCATCACAGCTTACAATGAGAAAGTTCCACTCATTTCTATGAAATGCCTGTAATCCTTCTTGATCAATGCATTTTCTGTGCTTTTTATGATCCTCATCGATGTGTAGTTCTGGAAATGCCGCATGCTCCTTCTGTTCGCAAAACGTACATAAAGTCGTCCGTTGATTTATGAATCCAAACGAATAACTTGTCCCTCTTTCGCCCAATAGTATTTTTCGTAGCCAACTGTATACAATCCGCGGATCTCCCTCATATGAGGGATATTGAGCCGCTTGGTAGCGAGGCTACGTGGCGCGTCTTCAGGTGGTGGATAGGGGGTTGATCGCGGACCATAAGAGACCTTCCCTCCTGAGACGCAGGTGGATTCAGGAGCTGGACTCCCTGTTTTTGGTATGCCGATTTGGCAGATACTTTGTGTGTTTACGAGGAGTGTTCATGCACGCGTGTGTGGGTGCGTTCAAGTTTATGCGGATTGTATACTACGAGTCAATTCGGCCAAAAGCCTGCAATCAAGTGACAGGGAGTGGATATGGAGCTTATTTGTTGAAGGCGACTCCTAACCGCCTACCATATACACGAGTTTATCCATGAACATCGATTCATTCGAAGAACTAACAACCCGAATTGGATGTTTACGATTAAAAAGATGTGGATCAAATCTGGCTTTGACAATCGTCGTCGTTTACGAGCTAACATCAAACTATGACGAGGAAGAAGTCGAAGCGTTCTTTATGAACTTAGAGAAGTTCTACAGAGAAGACCATACGTTTTTCAGGTTGATCATCAGAGATTTCAACGCCAAGATTGGACCAAGAAGAACGTCTGAAGAAAGTCACATTGGGCCCACGGGTTAGAATGAAACGAACAGATGAGCGGCTATATGAGTTTATCATGGCGAGCAAGACAATCCATGGTAACTCGCAATTCCAATAGCCCCACCCTCAACGCTGGACGTGGGGAGTCTCTCAGTGCAGAACATCATAACGAAATATACCACATCACAGCAAATAGAAGGTTTTGCCTTACCTATGTCGCTGTTGACCCAAAATTCTATACGGGATCAGACCACCGTCTTCTTCGTGCAGGATTACATTTCCTGTGGAAAGGAGAATAATCCTCTAAATTCAAAAAACGAAGTTTGAAATCCACCGTAAACTGGACTTATTCAATTCACTAGTCGGCTTTTGGGAAGACGCCATTGTCAATAACATCGACGAAGAATGTGATCAGCTCATTCAACATCTTCACCTTAGTGCTGCGAAAGTTGAGATTTCGAAAGTCACCAAGAGACGTCTGCCTCAAGAAACACTTGAGCTGATACGCCAGCGTGGAATCGCACAAGCTGTAGGCAACCGCGAACTAACGTCGAAACTTGCAAAACAATGCAGACAGGCGATAAAAGAAGATCTTAAATAGAGAAGAGCAATAGTAATGGTCGAAGCTACAGAGACCTCGAAAAGCATTCGCAAAGCCCATCGAAGCTTCGGCAATTACAAGACCAAGCTGATTGAACTCCAACGTCCAGACGGAAGAGTTATAGCGTCCAGAAAGGTAATGGAGAAAATCATTTACGAATACTACTCAGATCTCTTCGATAGCCACGTCCACCTTCTATCATATGAAATAAAGGAGGATGGATATGTTGTACCACTGATTCTCCTTTCCGAAATCCGACATGCCATTTCGTCGGTGAAATAGCGTACACCACAAGGTCCGGACAGGATGAAACCTGAACACCTGAAGAACCTTCCGCCAGTTCTCGTAAACACACTGGTTCAGCTGTTTACATGTTAGCAGTCTGAATGCAAGGTACCTACTCAGTGGAAAACCAGCAAGACCGTGCTAGTGTTCAGGAGGGGTGACCTTCACAATATCAGCAACTATCGCCCAATATGCTTGCTGTCTTCCGTTTACAAACCTTTCGCTCGAGTCATCCTAAACTGGATTGAGTAATGTCAGTCCTTCACGTCGTCGCGTCCTATGGAATTGATTGCTATTCTGATTTCACAGCGTTCAACAACTAAAACGCTGACGATGCTCGATTTTTAATGCCGAGCTGATAAATCCTCGAACTTCCGCTTTTCATGGCAGTTTTCTAAATTTCCATTGTTAGTGAAAATACGGGTAGCGTAGCCAAACGCTCTTAAGAAAAACTTGAATTTATACCTGTTTTTAAAGGTTCTTATATGCTCACGAATATCTTATGTTATTTCGCTACTTAGTTAATATGGCAACTACCCGAATTATTAAGGAATTATGGAAACCTGCATAATTTTAGCTCAACCTTCAGCGTGTAGTTGATGTTCTTTCAACCAGAACAATGGCTCCCAAATCCTTCGTTTTTTCGTAAAGCGACTGATTGAACGCATATTTGATTTATGGAGTGACTAGCGATGGCTTTCCGATGTATCAAGTCGGTGTTGCTATCCTCCCAGACAAGTTTAGTATCAAATTTGCACACTCGAAGGAATGGAAGGCTTGGTGATCTTTGGGTCTGTGACTTAATCAACGACCACGTGTGCAGGACACCACTAACCACTGCGTTACACGCACCCACACTCCTGTTTTGCACCTGCCTAACTCTGATGTGTGTAAAGTCGGGCGATAACTCAAACCTTCAAGAACAGTTAATACTTATGCAGTGAAAGGCGATTGGCAATGCGTTCACGTTATTTCAACTACACATAAGTGTTTCATGCGCTTTCAAAATTTAGCATCTTCTTGCCGAATTTGCCTTTCTGCATTACTACGGTGCAGACTTTTGAAGAAGATTCTGCACAAATTCACAATTCGTTTTTGAATTCCCTTTCGAAATTTTCATATGCTCTTTCATCCATTGGTTCTTGTGGAAATATTGCGTCACTTCAGCTTACGATAGAGAATTCATTGAATTTCCTGTTGTTGTCTTTCTACGAAAACCTGGTAGCTTTGAATGGATACGAAAGACATTTTTAGTCAAGGGCTTGGAGTCTTGCTTATTAGTAACTTTAGTCAATTAGAGTGATTTCTAGCAAACAATGCTTGAGAAGAACTTAAACAAACCGAGGCAAGGAATATGATCTCATTCTGGTCAGTTTTCTTATCGTTTATCTGTCTCTATAACCTGAAGAGCTCAGAGATCTAGTGCAGGTTTGAAAGAAAATTAATTCAATTCTTCTGTAAGGAAAAATGGAGAAGAGATCCAATTCTCAGACAAATTTGTTAGGATCTGCTAATCTGTGAACAGTTGATCGTTTAAGATACGACACGGCTTTGTACACAGATTCCATCTAAAAGTGATTTTGGACAAGAACGTAATCAAACAATTTTTTTCCATTAGATTCCAATGTGCTGTCACCAGGCCCTCTTGTTAAGGTGTGGTGCTTTGATGGACTAAGTTGATGTCAACTTTGTGGGATACCATGTTGTTTCACGGTATATAGCCATAATTGCTTTTTTTTACAGTTAACCTACTTGAGTTCGAAGATGCGGCAGGAAGCCTGACTCTATCTTTCTCTGCAAGGCTTCCAAAGCCTTCGAACAACGGTTGTCAGAGTTTACCATGCGTTACTTTTCTTTCTAATGGATTGCTCCCGCAAACTTCACCTGGAATGGCTAAAATTTTTCCTACAGCAAAGTTTTTCGTCGTAGAAAAACGATATAAACGAAGTAATACAACCTAGGAATGCTGAGATTTGAACAAAACAAAATAAAGAAAGTAAATTATACACATATATATATCTACATATCATATGCACGTATACCGCACAGAGGTGTAGTGGCGCATGTGGCGCAGCCGTTGGAGGGGCCACTGCGACACACATGTGGAATCGATCCCCGCGTCCATGGCTCACCAATCCTTCCATTCCTTCGGGGTCGGAAAATTGGTACCAGACTTGTCTAGAAGAATAGCAGCACTTTCGCGATACATCCTGCGCAAGACATCCTGAGCCAGAACAGCCGTGCAGCACGTTCTGTTGAAAATGTCACCGATAACTGCTAGGTGAGTTGACGACTACAGTAATTACAGATTACAGTAAAAAAAAAGAAACGAAGGACCCTCATGATGCGGTGGTTAGCGTGTTAGTCCCCGGAAGGAGTGATAGCGCGTTCGTTCCTCACCGCAGACACCTGTGGTCCGGAATCTTGCAAATATCTCAGCACCACTGTGGTTCTTTCACAGTTACAGATGTTTGATTCCGCTGTCGAAATCCTCGTACTTGGGCTCAGGATTACAATAATAGTTGGGAAATCATCTAACGAGTCTTTTCATTACGTCGAAATAATAGAAGAAGCGACAAACGACAAACTTGGACAATGACAAGAAACCTTACTGTTCGCTTTCGCCTATACTTTCACTGCCCGCTGAAACAAACACTTGCCAGCCAGACAGAACGTTTCAAATACGCTTTTTCTAAGCCGTTAAGGAGGTTTTTAATCTTCTCGGTAAAAACATTTACTGCTACTACAGACACGTAGCTGAGAGGAAACTAAGAATCCACTTCGAGAACTGCGGCCGTCCTTTGGGAACATGCCGTTATTTGGAACCAAAGAACACTTGGATACGTGCTGCAATGGACTGTTCCATTCCTTCTGCTCTAGCATACGCTCGCAAAACACTATGCAAGCAGGGTAAAAGACAATTTAGCGGAGCCTGCTGCAACCATTCGACACTCAGTATTGAGCGGCATAGTTATTGTGAGAAACAACCCCACTACATAAATTGTTGGTCCCATAATGTGGCGTCGTGCTCAATTGCGTCAGCATCTTTAAAACGTCTCGCGGATTACAGTTGGAACAAATTCGTCTAGGCAGAGCAAAAAAAAGTTGAAGTCTACATTTTACCCTAGTTGGTGATTTTTTTCAGAGGCGATTTTTTGCAAAGCACAGACAAAAAAACTCAATAATGCCTAGTCCCACCAATATCGAGCATTAGAGCAACTATGTACGTTTTCACATTAAACGGCTTTGGCGCCCATTGTAATTAAGTCTATTTATACCTTATAAAGCGGTTTCCAGAACGAAATCACATCTCGGTTGTGTACATCAACTTCTGTCGGCGTTGTGCTGATTTGCATTACCCTACCCGCGGTCATAGTGAAAGTGATGTGCCCATTCTTCGCTCATCGAGTTCTCTACGGGTATTATAATTGAAGGAGTAGTCATTGTATGTACCATAATACATTTTAGGCCATATTTTTTTCAGGATTCGTCACTTCATGGTTTGCGCTCTACAAATAATTTCTTTGCTGGTGGTTGTGTTTGCAGAATCCGCTCCACCAGCGTTGGTCGGCGTTTGCTTTGCATTCCTTTCAGGTGGATTAGGCGAGTTCACCTACCTAGGCTTGGCCGGACACTATTCAAAGTTGGTTTGCCTAAAAAATTTTGGCAACGCCGTTATTTTTTGTTTTATAAGAGAGTACTCTCAGCAGCATAGCTTAGCCAGAGGGCGGCAACTCCGCCCCGTTGTTTCACAACCGAAATCAGACTGTTTCGGCTATGAAACATAACTGTCTACCCAGCCGCTATCAGGAAGTCAGCGTTTGCCATATAGTGATTACAGCTCATGAAGTAGACATGGAGACGTAAGTACTGTCTAGAGTAACTCCCACCCACGACCGACTTTCTATTAACCTCGGCATTGATCAAGTAATTCTTCGCATTTTTGTTGAGCAAACGCGAGGTGTTATTATTCCTTATTCACGAATAAGCTGGCGATTCCCCGGTTTTCGCCTTCCTTAGAGCCTGCCCACTATTCTCCTCCAGAGGTGTCGTCGAATTGCGAATACTACGCACCTGTCTACGAAGCCGATAAAACCAGATGTTCGCCAAGTGGAAGAAGTGCGAGACGAAGGAAAACTTTTGCGCTCAATATTTGGAGGACCGCCTCTGGAGGAGAATAGTGGGTAAGCTCTGAGGAAGGCGAAATCCGCCGAAACGTCAGCTTATTCGTGAATAAGGAATAATAACACCTCGCGTTTGCTCAACAAAAATGCGAAGAATTACTGTCTAGAGTATTTATTTACGTTTCTGGAAGAGGTTCTTAGCATCTCTGAAAGTTATACTGTGGAAGGTTCCTTTCAAGCACATAAGATTGTGGACCACACATTAATGAATGAGTCATTCTTGTTTTCCTGAAGAATGCGCGGAGTTCGAGCATTGCCCTCTTTATTTTACTGACTTTCTAAGAAGTCTCTTGGATTTCCGAACGTTAAAGCAACCCATGCCAATACGTTTGAAACTTGTTGATACTTATTCAAATTTACATTTGTATATTTTAGAACGGAATTCACAGTTGGATACTGTACTTTCTTTCGAAAATGAAGCCCTAAAACAAGGCGAATTTTGAAGAAACGCATTCTTTTCTGTGAAACATTTTTTCATCCAGTACTCACTTCCTGATGATGGTCATCTCTATTCCAGGGATACGGTCGCCACTTGGTCGTCGGGAACTAGTACGGCTACCTTGATTGGTGGCTTCTCATATGCCGGTATGACCGATGCTCGCTCTTGCTCGCCCTTACATCTTTTCAGGCTATGCTCTTCATGCTTGTCATTCCAGTTATATTTGCGTTCACGTAAGGTTTAAGTATGTTTTCCTTTTGGGAGAATTCAGAACACTTCATTATTCTGAATTACTTGGTTATGTCAAGTCTTTACTCAAATCTAGACTGTTTCTCAGACTTCTGGAAAATTCCGACTTGCAGTGCTTCACTAAAAGAATAACAGATTTGGTCTTTAAAAACGTTCTCTTTTTTTTAAAGCTAATAAGGTTTTTAATGTTTAACGGTCTCCACTGTTAGCAGTTTTAGAGGAGCTTAGAATGATGGATTTTCAGGTACTACGTGATTCTTGTCCAAGCTCCTACAGTACGAAAAGTTAGCTCACTTCGGCCAAATGAGTGGTTTTCTCGCAGGTTCTCAAATCTAAGGACTTTGAAACTATTATTATCTTAATAATTCGCGACTGCCGAATTGTGCACGTAGATGGGGAGTTCCATCAGAAGCTCACAACAGGTTGCAGACCCTCCACTACTTTTTCTGGTATCATTCAATTGTTGCATCCGCTAAAAAGCAAAAAAAGTAAGCTACAACGATACTGAGATATTTGCACTTTAATAGGCAGTAAATGGAAGGCAAACATTGTGTTTTGAACTGCAACTTCACCTTAACTGGGTTCAACGCCGATTTGTGCTTTCCAAATTATTCCTGTTAACGATCGGCATCACTTTCACTGCACTACCCACTTTCCTTAAAATGCTTAGGTTTGCCAAATCTATATGAAAAACAACAAAACTATGTGAAATGAGTGGACAATTAGAAGATGCTTACCTTGTTTACAGTCGACTAGAAATGAAGGAATTATCATCGGATAGCAATAGCGCCGATTTGAAACTATCTGCACTGAATGGACATTTTTAGAACGACTAAAGATTATTCAGGTATGTTCTAGAAGCGTGTTCAGCAATGTAATAAATTCTACGGTGCTCTGGAAGAATTGATTTCCACTGGTTTGAACTCATGGATCTCCCACATTAAGAGATTCCTTGCAAGGTCATCTGAAGTGTGCCCTCATGTGGCAGGTAGGGGGTTAAACACGAAGTGAAATCAGCTTTGCTAATTTCTAAGACGCTTTTGAATCTCTGAGACGGAATCGCCGCTGCTCCTGCACTGATCTAACACATAGCTTCTGCGTTTACGTAGATATGTTAATTTATGCATATGGTATTCTATAAGTTGTACCAAAAGCCTGAATTTATGTGCCTCGATACTATATGACAGGTGGTTAGGAGTTACGTCCAACAAATGTGCTCCAGGTTTACGCTGGAGGAAACTGAAAAACTACCCGTGAGTACATTCAGTCAACATATTCGGAGCTCAGCAAGCAATGCGTGAGTGTTAGAACAAAACAGTGAAGTGGGTAGATATATCTTCCCACTAGTTTTCTTTTCCGAAATTAGGCATGTTGCTTTGCCGGTGAAGGGTCATACAGCACCTGGTTTGAAAATGATGAGATTTAAACACCTGAAGAACCTTTCGGCAGTCTTCATAGCAGACTGACGCGGGTTTTTACAAGTGACCTATCAGAATGCAAAGTTTTCTACCAGCGGAGTATTAGAAACAGCATGTGTTCAGTGGAGTCATTACCAACAGAGTTGGCAGAACACTGAAAGAACGACGAGCATGTGAGTACACAGGATTTCGGAAAGGGTTAAGTACGATAGAGCACATCCAGACGGTTATTTATCCATATAGAAAGGGCCGTTGACTCAGTTGAGATAAGAGCAGATATAGATCTCTGGACAACCAAGGCGTCGCGTCTCAGTAGATGAAGAACCTTTGTGAACTGTATAAAAATCTTGCAGTAACAGTATCATCACTACAAAAAGATATCGACATAAAACGCTACGAAAAATACTTGACAAGGCGGTACGATCTCACTATAACAATTTGCACTCACCGTCGAAATTGTGCTAGTTGGCCAGTGGAATAGAAAGTAGTTGGTCGGATTTGTCTTCTGTCCGCCAACTGTAGGTGGAATGCTTGACTTTGTATGGATTCGTCACGTGTAACTGCCGTGAACAATCTCGAGTTTCGGTTATAACAGTTTATAATAATAACAACAGTACAAGAACAACAATGTGACGACATGTAGTTAGATGGACGGATTCGAGAGGGGTTGAAATGAGGACAAGTGGAACACTTGAAGGAAGCTGGGCGAACACTGGAGTTGGAGCATTGCGGGACTGAGACACAAGCACTGGTTTGATGTCCAATGATGCTTCTTATATTCTATCTGTAATGGGTGGGGTTTTACAGAGGGAATCAGAGACAGTACTCAAGGAGAGGTTACGCACTTTTTCATTTATAACAACCCGATTCGGGCATTTGAACAGAGGGTTCGCGAAGGCTATACAATGGCTTATGGTAGAAAAAGTGCATTGGAACGGCCGATTCTTAAAAGTACATGTAGCTGGCCGCTGCTTGTTCAGCGCTCGAACCGTCGGAGAAAGAAGAGTGGTTTATACAAAGAAGTTCCAGCATCACTTTTTAGCAAGGTGCGGGACAAGTGCCTGAGACAGTCGCTAAGAGGCAATTTACAAAATGTGTAAGAATAAATGCATAGTGATTACAAGTAAACAGTTATTATAGAAGACATAAGGTAATATGAAAGGCAGGGTAATATAGAAATAGAAACTATTTGGCAAGTAGTTGCTATAGAAATCCTCATGCAATGTTCTAGATGGTGTAACATGGGAGCGTGAAGGTAGGCGGTCAGAGTTTGCAAAATTTTCGTTTTTTTGATGTTATTGTTCTTATAACGTTAAGCACTAAGCAAGTGGAATGGGTACTAGACAACATTGACAACACTTGTAAAAAGATTGGTCATCGGTATGGGTATTTGGTCAATGGGTAACTCCACTCCATTCAATTCGCATTTAAGGGAGCAATCCTGGAAGTATGGCGTGCCACAGAATTGAGAAAGTGGATCCAAAGTTTGGAATCCTCGTCGGAATGTTGAACCTTGAGGGGCCAGATCATGAAGTGCTTCCAAACGACAACTGTTGGATAAGAGTGGTTAGTGATTGCATTCTTTGAGATGTTGAGCCTACAGCAAGAAGACCACCGACCTGATGGTCAGAGTTTCTCATGAGAACCCTAGAGAAAAGATTTGGTGCTTAGGGGTTCCCAAGAGCGAGTAGAATCTGGCGGGACGCCCATTCACGTAAGAGGAAGATTTACTAGTGCTAGTTATTTGACGGTCGAAGGAATTCGTTAGATGATCATGATATGCTAAGGATATTGTGCGAGTTGACAGCAACTCAAGACGCATGCAGCGAAAAACAGATGAGGAAGCTACACGAATTTGGGTTTCTGATTTGAAGTGTTAATAACTTCCCACAAGAAATCTTATGGTTAGCGACCGCGTAAGAAAACACAGTCTGTTTCCGTACGTGGACTGAAATTTACAAGTACTTTCATGGCATATTTTGTAACTGGGTGCACTACGTAGGAGTGCGTAGGTTTCGCATGATTTCTACTGCATTTTTAAGAGCTTACTTCGATACATCGTGCCTTTGTTTTTGGTCTTCCTAACTGAATATGTAATCAACCAAGGGCTGGTGAGTCTGAATTGTAACTTTGTTTACACATTTTTAGATTTTCTAAAGCAGAATAGTAGGCAGAATCTATTTGTTGGGATGGTTTTATCAAAGAGGACTCAATAAGCGTATCGAATAAGATTTCCGGTTTTTTAAATGTACATTCAGAAATATTCGTTTCAGCTAGAGCTCATCACATTTGACTGCAAACACGGCTATGACACTAGCCCGAGAAGTCAGCACAAATGGTATCAGGTAAACTGACCACCGGCTTTTCCATAGACTCGTTCCCTTTTGCATTGCATTGCAAATGTTCTTTCAGGTGATGTACCAAGTTGGAGCATTTGTTTCATGGTCTTCACTCAAACTCGTTCAGTTGAACATAACCTTTATTGCGTTGTTACCTTTGCTTCAAGTAAGTGCTCCTTAATTACTCATCCTTCTAAAAAGAGTCATTTTGCAATGTGGCGTTTGAACATGTTTTTTGAAATGTCAGTATTGTTTTTATATCGCACAGTGAAGACAGGTACAAGCTCACTGCGCTAACTTCCACTACAAATAGATTGGGCTGAGCTTCCAAAATAAAAGTAAATTCTGTTTAACGTTTTGTTTTCTGCCTTCTATAATTTTCATGGCAGGTTACTAAGTGAAAGACGACCACAACGTTGCTGAGATATTTGCAAAACTCTGGACCGCAGGTGTCTATGGTGGGGAACGAACGCGCTATTATCCTTTCCGGTGAGTAACGCGTTCACCACCACACCATGGGGGTCCTTCGTTTCGCCTGTCTCTCAGCTATTTCTATCGATCTTTTTGCCACAGCAATCACCCGTCAGCGGGGT